CACACCTAGGATATTATTTTGAGTACACTTTATCATTAAGAACTAAACATACTAGAGATGTATATTTTTTTTTTTTTTTTTTTTGATAACAATATATTTTCTTTTGAATGATATAGCATACGGCAGAATATTTTTCCTTTATAAATTACTGTATATTAAATGTTATCCGCAACTAGTAGCATGATATAACATTCTACCAATTGGACATAAGAGTGAGTGTCCATTTTCAACACGACACGTGATTAATATATTTTTAATATTTATTAGTCACCATGTCTCTTAAAAATAAATACGCACCCGTGCAAGTTTTATATATTTATTTATTAACACATCATAAGCGTAAATAAAATTAAGGAGAGCACTTGATGATTGAAATAAAAAGTAGCAAAAAATAAGCGTGGGGGTTAAATGTAAATTAAGTTATAAATACATTTTAATTTCTAATAACTCACATATCAAATCTGATGGGTTATTATATATTAAATATGTGGTACGGTGCGAATTAGAGTTAATATATAGGATTGGAGTGCTTTCATCCAAAACTTTTGACTTATTGTAGTTTGCATCCTTTTTTCTTAAACTTTTCATCTTATTATTCTTGTCTATTTAAGAGTGTTGATTTTCAACACGAATCGCTAATATGTCCCGAATATGATGTGGAATTTTTGTGTTCCTATTAAGGATATTTACGTTCATGTCAATCTAAAAATAATATGAAAAAAATTGTGTCATATGTGTTAAAAATATTTATATTTGTATCAACCCACAAACCTAACATGAAGCTCTAAACTCAAATAATTATATATTTATTCTCAGTTTTATCTATTAATTTGTGTATATAACTTTACATACTTTTATGTAATTTAATATTTTTATTCATATAATTTAAAGTTAAAAAATTATTCGAATCCTGTCATATCAATCCATATAATAAATATATCACATTTTATTTGATAGCTTAAATATGAGTAATTATGTCATATTCAGATTAAAAATATTTGTGTTCATATTAAGCCTAAACACAACACAAATTTGACCCAACAAGCGAAGTTATCACCCAATCACCACCCTCGTAATTCACGAGTGTTTTTTGGGACTACTCTTTGTGTATTTTCTCAACTTTACTTAAAAAAAAACAATTTATTTTTATTTCTTGATACTTGAAATAAACTTGTTTGAATGAGATTTTATAATTGCTAATTTCTATTAAATTATTGGAATTTACATTTTCTCTTTTCTTACGAGCAAGGGTAAAAATTTCTACCAATAGGGGTTGGCTCAAGTGGTAAGGTACTTGGATTCGCTTAAGCAAGAACTTGAGTTCGGGACCTTGTGTATGCAGAAAATCTCCGCTGGGAGACTCACCTGCCAATGCTAGGTAACCTACCCGGTCGGACTGGATATAGTCGGGGCGAAGCCCCAGAAATCAGTAGAGCAATCCAAAAAAAAAAAGGGTAAAAATTTCTTAACTTGCACATAAGAACATTTCCTGCAAGTCATTAAGATTGATCTAATGATGAAGGATAAATAATTTATATGAGATCATATGTTTGAATCCTTGCTAATGACACAATTAAAATAAGGATTTTTTTATAGCCAAAATAATAAGATTTAAGTTATATATATATATATATACACACACACGAGGTAGGATCATTTGACACCAGTGTCAAATTTGAAATTTGACACCTTATCGGAGACTCATTAGATCAAAAAAGATTAACGACTCTTATTTGTAAGCATGTGACACCATTGATTTTTTTTTTATCTAAGGGCTCTCAGATGAGGTGTCAAATTTTAAATTTGACACTGGTGTCAAAGGATCCTACCTATCTACCTATATATATATATATATATATATATATATATATATGGTAAAATAATTTCTCCAGCCGCTAGACGTCTAACAATAAATCTTACACCATTGATTGATTATGATTCCTCGCATTAATGCTTTCACCCATCTTTGTATGATTATAATTCCCTGAATTTATTTGATGGATGTCAAACGATTGAAGAAAAGTAAAGCCCTATATATATACACATATACACACACACACATATATATATATATATATATATATATATATATATTTCTTTGTTTTGCATTGAATTAAATCACCTGCTGCTTGTGCGGGCCCCGTCAATTCCTTTAGGGTTTCAGTCTTTTTTTATTATTCTTTCTTAAAAAAAAAACTCCTCGTATTCACAATCTATATATATATATATATATATATATATATATAAGATATTTTTATATCAGTGTAAGAATAAGAAGTCTTATATCAAATATTGATCGTTGATTTTATTTATATCTAACAACTCTGATTTTTTAGATTTATGAGCCATTAGATGTAAATAAATCAATGATCAAGATTGAAATTATAACTTACACCGGTATAACATAATCATGACCCATATATATTAATCTAATTCGAAAGGTAACTAGTTGTGCTTGTCTGAAACCTTTATATAGAAATAATATTATTTTATTTAAAAATGAAATATAAAAATAAAATTGAGTCATTATTATACTCTAATCAATAACAAATAAAATATGAGAAAAAAATACTATTTTTAGTATAAATTCTATTTTCTTTGTAAAATATCATTCAGTCTAGTCAAACATCATATTATTTTGGATTTAATATCTATGAAAATAAAATTATCTCTTACATACATACAAATGTAAGAGATCCGTATAGGATTATATGAGAAAAATAGAGAAAAAAAGAAAATATATACACTCTACGTACTTTTATATATGTATAAGATATAATTTTACAACTTAAAAAAATATTAATTAAACCCTATTATTTTCTTAACAAGAATATCCTCATCAAACAAAATTAATGGTTATTCTTAATCCCTTATCTTTCCATTTTGTTTTCGGAGATAATCCGTTAGCCTTAAATTGACATTCAATAATTTTTATTTTTTTATACAAAGGGGAACAATACAACAAAACAAAACTAAGATTTAGAAAGCCTCGGGCTACAAAACACCCATCGACTATCGAGTCGACCTAAGAGAGACATTCAATAAATAACTTACGTTATTAAAGATCATACAAGAGGAAGACAAGTGAAAATTGGGAAAGGCAGGGTGTGCAAAATAATCAAAAAACTGAACCGAACTATGAACTGAACTGAATCGCTCTTAAAATAATCAATTTTTAAAAATTAGGTCATGAACCGAATCAGTTTTTCAAGAACCAGTTCATGAACTGAAATAATTTTTAGAACCAGTTTAAGAACTGAACCGTTTTGAACCGAATCAAATCATTTCCGAACTGAACCGAACCGCCGTTTTCAAACCGAACCAAATTGATTTTTATTTTATTTTTTAAATTGTAATTTCTTTTTTTTTTTCAAAATAAGGTCGACTTGAGCCGATTTCGAACCGAACCGAACCATTTTCAACCGAACCGAACCACTTTTGAATCTAATCGAACCATTTTCGAATCACATCATTTAAATTAGGGGTGTCAATATGGGTTTTGACACGCGGGTCGACCCGCGACACGACACGAAAATTCCTGTTCGGGTTGACCCGTAAAAAAATTCGTGTCGTGTTCGTGTTGGAAAAAATGACACGCAAAAAATTCGTGTCATGTTCGTGTTTATGAATTCTGTTCGTGTCGACCCGTATTATTTTTAACTATTATATTTTTTATTTTATTTTTATTATTTTTTAATTTTTTATTTATTTTCGATCTATTTTTTTAATTTTTTTTGTCAATTACCGTTTTGTCCCCTATTTTGAGTGTTATTCGTGTCGTGTCGTGTCAATCCGCAAAAAATTCGTGTCATGTCAGTGTTGAAGATTTTGACACGAATGAAAATTCGTGTCGTGTTCGTGTTGATGTATTCGTGTCGTGTCAACCCATATTGACACCCCTAATTTAAATTAATTCAGTTCGATTTTAAAAAAAATTCAGTTCAGTTCAACGAATGCACATCCCTAAACATACATGCATATATCATATATGCCCTCAGCCTTTCATGCCTCCAATAGCCGCATATTGAAGTTTAGACTTCAGAGTCAATTTCTTGTTTGCCACAACTCTCTCTCTCTCTTTTTTTTTCCATTTTCCATCCCAAATAACATCATTTACAAAACGAAAATAATATTTTCACGTCAAAGCGTTTAATCATTTTTTACACTTCCCTTCCAAATAAAAAAAAATATAGTAGTTACATTCTTTAATGAAAGTAAATGATGGTTTGACTCTTATTTTCGAAACTCAAACTTAATTACAAATTTGTAGCTTCAATAAATACTTGTGATAATTTTTTTTAATATTTAAGTCGTTCTAGAAGATAAGAATAAATAAAATGCTACAAATGTAAATTTTTTTTTAATTTATTAACTGTTTACAAACTCGCCGTTGGACCCTACTGATCTTCCGTACCATGGCACGGACATGACATAAGGGTTAATATTGCACCTTACCTTCAGACAGGAGCTACCCAGACTTAGAGCGATAATTTTATGGTCCTGGTCCAAAAAAAATTTTGGTGGATCAGAGGTGACAGAAAGAGAGAAAAAATTGAGAAGAGAGAAGAGAAAAAGAATTTTTTTTTTTATTCAGGTGTTAATTTTTTAATGAAAAAATCATAATAATCGTACAGCATTTTAAAAATTCCCCCATACTTAGATTGTTTCTCTTCTCCTTCTCTCAATATTTAAAGTGTAATTTTTTTTATCAAATTATACGGTAGATTAGTTTAAAATATTTTTTAAACTATCCAAATTAAATTAATTATGAAGCGAATATATTAAAAACAAAAATGTAAACCCTTTCTCAAGTTTCTATATATATCATATACCCTTTCCCCCAACACCAACACACTCCATTCACCTTCCCCATTCCTTCGAATTCATTTCATTTTCTTCTTATCCCTTAATTTTGGCTTTTCTTCATATACATGTTTGAGTGTAGGAACAACAACAACAAGTAGCAGCAAGGAGGGGAGGGGGTCAAGTGCGGATATATGATGGAGGGCAGAGATCTTTCGCCACCACGCGTGGACACATCTCGACCGTCCCTGGGCTTCCCTTTGGGAACTGCACTATTGTTGATAATAATCTTCAGCTTGAGTGGCATATTCTCCTGCTGCTACCACTGGGACAAGTTCCGCTCATTCCGTCAATCTTTCTCCGATTCCCACGATGGACACTCTCACACCCAATCCTCACCCTCCAAGTCCAAGTTTGATTCCACGGTACTATATCTAGTCTCTCTCTTTTATGTTCTCTCTCTCACACACACACACTCTCTAGCAAGTAGAACAACTAAGAAACATTAATTTCAAGCAAATATAATTTTGAATTTTCATTTTGATTTTGATTTTTTTTCTTGGTGGCCTGCAGGAATTCAAGCAAAGCAAGGACCAGACCAGCTTGCCGGTGTTGATGCCTGGGAATGAGGTACCCACTTTCATAGCCATGCCTTGCCCGTGCCAGCCGTCACGGCCGGAGAAGATCATTGTCACCGTGGATAAGCCACCGCCAAAACCACCGCGACTGCCGGTGCCTTTGTATTAATTAGCAACCGGAGCACGTTCATTAATTATATATATATATATATATATATATATATAAGAGATAGGATCTTTTGATACACATAATCGTTCAATCAAAAAGATCAATGATATTTATAAATTGTTATATTCTCACCGTTTGTGGCATGACCCGTTAAAGGCGGTTAAGAAGGGGAAAGAAAACATAGATTGCAGGTCAAATCCCATGTTAATTATGACCATTTCGATCATTTGATTCGATATTTGTGTTCTCCGACACAACTAGTGTTTTATGGAACTAAAATTGTTTTTATTAGGAAAGAGAGTTGGTTCAAGCAGTATATATTTTTTAAGCAAGATTTTGGATTCAATGAAATAAATAAATAAATTGGAAATAGTAACCTGAGTTACTATAACTATAATGTGAATCAATTCGAATATAATTATCTTCTAGGGAATATATATATATATATATATATATATATGATTTATATATAAAGAAAGGGTTTGCTTTTTCTGCAGTTAATGCAGATAAGTTATTTGCAGTAAGTTTTGAGGCAGAAATCATGATGTTTTTGTAATTTTAATTTATTTCAGAGGTATAATAGTCTTTATATTTATAATTTTTTAAGATTTCAATACCAAAACGACGTCGTTTTGAGAATAAATGCAGATAATTTATTTGCATTAACTGCAAAAATATTTTTCCCATAAAAAAACCTGTTTATATTTATTGAAAACTCCAATTGGGTTTTTTCCTTGGCTTTCAGCTTAAAATAAAAAATAAAAAAATGAAGAAGCAGATATTGCCCCTACATTTGTCTTTTTCCGCTGATACAAAAATTATGAGGTATAACAATATTAGCCTTATCACAATAATTAAATAAATAAAAGAATGAATTTATCTTATATATGTTGCATAAGATAATTATTTTATGCACTAAACACAAGATAATGAAATGCATTAATTTTTTTTTCTTTTAAAAATAAATAATGAATCTCACTATTGTATAAAATAATTATCTTATATCAACAACAACATTATCAACATCAACAACAACTTTATTCCACGAATAAATCTCAGCTTTATTTTTATCAACCATTCTTAAATAAAGAAGCGGGTATTGCCCCCTTCATTCTGAGAATGCTAATGGAGCTACACAGTACAGACTTGCCTAAAGCCAAAAAAACAAAAAATAAAAAAAATAAAATGCATGCTCTTCCAATCAAAATGGAACCCATTTAATAGCCAATACAAATCTATGGATCTCAGGTAAATTTGGATCAAAATGGGAAGGTGCCCCGACATATACCGAAATATTTAAAGCATATAGGTCAATGATCCCATCAACCACGCGACGCCAATGGAACTACTAATTAATGACAGTAACAAAATATCCGTACATTATTATATATAGCACAGCACGTATTTGACTCATCACTTCACTTGTGGAACACAAAAAGTATAAAAAGAAGGGTTCGAAACGTGTAAAATTAGGATAAGACCTGGTGGGGGGGAATATTGCCCACTGTTCCTCTCGTTGTTCACGAATTTTCAAGATACTAAAGGGATGAAGTTGTTGGAAGATATTATGACTCGCAAAGAATTATGTTGCAAACAGGGACCCAAAACCAAAATAGCTTTTTTCGTGACCTAATTTCACTGTGGCTTTGGAGAAAAACTTCCAAGGAAAATTTTTTCCCCGTTTATATCCATAATTTTTTGGGATAAATAAGAGTTATGTTGTAGGAAAAATAATTTGATTATGTTAAGATTGTTGAGAAATATAGTCCCGCATTAGTTGTATGGGCAACTAACGTGAGGTTTATAAGACCTTGGGCACTCCCACCCTTTAAGCTAGCTTTTGGGGTGGTGTATCTCAAAGTTCTTAACATGGTATCATAGCGTTCGAAATCTCACCGCCTCCCACTTTCTTTGTAATGGAATTTTCACATGTAGGTGGGCTTATATGTTGTCCACCCTTCAAGCTCAGTGGGCTCTCGTGTGAGGATGCATGTTGAGAAATATAGTCCCACATTGGTTGTATGGGCAATTAATGTGAGGTTTATAAGGTCTTGGGCACTCCCACCCTTTGAGCTAGCTTTTGGGGTGGTGACCTCAAGGTCCTTAACATGGTATCAGAGCCTTCGAAATCTCACCGCCTCCCACTTTCTTCGTAGTGGAATTTACACACGTAGGTGGACTTGTATGTTGTTTACCCTTCAAGCCTAGTGAGCTCTCGTGTTGAGAAATATAGTCCCACATTGGTTGTATGGGCAACTAACGTGAGGTTTATAAGGTCTTGGGCACTCCCACCCTTTGAGCTAGCTTTTGGGGTGGTGTATCCCAAGGTTCTTAACATACAACTAATGTGGGACTATATTTCTCAACATGCCTCCTCACACTAGACTCCGCTGGACTTGAAGGGTGAACAACATACAAGTCCACCTACATGTGTAAATTCCACTACGAAGAAAGTGGGAGGCGGTGAGATCTCGAAGGCTCTGATACCATGTTAAGGACATTGAGGTCACCACCCAAAAGCTAGCTCAAAGGGTGGGAATGCCCAAGACCTTATAAACCTTCATACACCCAATGTGAGACTATATTTCTCAACAAAGATAAGACAAAACAAAATCATTGAACAAAGTGTCTTATCATATTTTTTTATTATTATTGTTTTTTTGTCTTTTATGTTGCATGACTTCATGTAACATGATAAAATAAAGACCCTATTTTTTTAGAGAAAATTATTTGCCATTTTAAGAGAGAGATAGACACAAAATAAAAAAATTTATTTAAAATTTAAATTAAAAAAAATCATCTACTTTCTCCTCTATGATTTTCATTCTTTGTGTTTATCTCTCTCCTAAAATGACTAACTTATATCATTTAAAATGACAAACATCAAATCCATTTTTTAATATTATTTTAGGGTTTAACATTTCTTTTCTTTTTTTTGTAACTGTTTTTTTATTACACTTATATAAATAAAAGGATAAGTTATTCTACCTACCTTTTTTTTTGCGTACCTTTGTCTATCATGCTAAAACACCATTAGATCATAATCTTAACTAACATTTATATTTTTCTTTTTTCTTGAGATTCTAATCTAACGATGTTGGAGAGTGGTAAACAAAGATAAAAAAAAAATGATAAGTAAAATATCCTATCCCACAAATAAATGAATCCTAAATTTTTTTAATAATAAAATTCGTTCATTTTCATATGAATGTAACAAAAAAAAAATTCAACAACAAAAACAAAAATATTTTTTGCTCTTAAATTTTTTTTCGATTTAGGGTCACCGGGTTTTATTTTTTGCAGTATCAGGAATGTGTACCCTTCCGTGATTACTGCAGGTACATATAACTTTTCACATCTTCTCCTTCTCTTCAGTACTCTGATTTTGAATTTTTGATCATTGGATTCACAAGTGGCCAAGTGGGCCTCTGACTCTCCGCACAAAACCTGTCCCCACACCCCATTACAGATAACTACAAGAGTAGCACTGTTTATACTTTATACATTAAAAAAGATATTGCATTATTTTTATATATTTATTTATCTGAAAAAAAGTGAAGAATATTATAATGTACATTTTTTATTTTATTATTCAAAAAGAAAGTAGTGGAAGTTTTATATTCTCACGTTCTATCTTATTTCTTCTTTGTTTTCTCTCACTATTTTTCTCATGTCATATCATATCCTCTTCGGCCAAGCCCACCAAAGGTAGGGCTTATGTATTCTTAAAGGGAAAAATGTGTGTCATTATAAAAGATGTAAAATTGTGTCATTTTAAGAGAGAAAAAAAAATAAATAAAGGAGGAGAGAGAGTTGACAAAAAAAAATAAAGATGTGGGTCCCACCTCTTTGTGAGAGTAAAAGGATATAAGTTGTGTCATTTAAAAGGATAAACACTTTTCCCATTCTTAAAAAAAAAAAATCATAATATTTCTTAATTTGTTTGAGAGATATGCTTGTTTAAATTAGTTTGCATTGAGAAATAATTACTTTTATTTATAAAACTTTTTGAATCAGTACATGCATAACTTAATCAAATTAATAGTTTTGAATGATTAGTTTATGTTAAACTACAGTGTATGTATAAAAAAGCAGAGATGAAAGAGATCGGCCCAATACTATAAATTGTAATTAAACACTCAGCATTAATTTATTAATTTGGTGATTATGTAACTTCTTTCTAGGAAGATGGAAATGGAAGCATTCCCCAACAATATCTTAATTTGTTGTTATTTATGCCTTATCCTAATTTACCTCAAAATAGTAATTCTATTGGAGTTGAATATGAAGAAGACGTGCATAATTTCTCGTAAACTAAATTAAAAAGTTGATCAAAGAGAATATGTATTGTAAATTAGTTATTAAAATAAATTCTAGTTCTTTAGTCTTCTCAAATTATCATTTCCATGAGCTCACAAAATTCTAATAATTAAGACCTAAAATTAAAAATATTGAGGAATGTTAATTTTTTAGGGGACCAAACATGATTAGTATTACTTATTAGAGCATGTTTGGTGTATAGTATAGAATAAGGTCTGATAGTATAAGACTTGATAGTATAAGACCTGATTGAATTTTTAAAACTATTCAGCGTTTGGCACGATATTGTATAAAATAATATATTGTATAAGATAATATCATCTAGTATTTGATAATGCACTGTATAATACTATATAGGTTAAAAATAAATATCCTTTAATAAAGAATTTATATAATTCTTCAAAAAATGTCATATGATATTAATTTATATAAAAATTTATTGATTAGTGTGTCCAAAACATAAATTAATTTTTATAAAAATAAAAATATTCAATATTTTAAAAATTAATATATTGAAAAATTAATTTTTATTTTAATATATTAATATTAAAATAATATATTAGTTTTTGAGAATTACACTGGTCACTGGTCAACGATGTTAATACACCAACCTCTTATCAGGTCTTGTCCCCCCCTTAGGCCGAATTAAGTTATACATCATTTTGATGTATTAAGGGATC